AAGGGAGAGGCCGTGTGCTCCTGGTTCTCCCTGAAGCCTGGGGCCGGGGGGCGGCAGCACACGGATTCCCGTGACCCAAGACAGCGACTGTGTCCAGCTTTGGGAAAGAGGAGGTCCTGCCCCATGTCCCACCCAACACCTGGCCTTGGAGGTCACACTCCATGGGAGGGGACATGTGAGCGTTCACCCCAACACGAGTTGCCCCGTTACCCCAGGAAGGCTGACGCCTCCCTTGAGCCTGGCTGACCTGGGCAGTGGGGCACACGAGGGTCGAGGTACCATGGAGTGTGTGCTGACGCCATCGCTGACCAAAGCACGGGGACTGTGGAGCACGCTTTGGACGGCAGGTGCACACGGCTACAGGATGCGGGGTTTCCTTATAAGACAATGAAACGCTCTGAAGTTGACTGTTCTGATGGTTGCATTTTCCCCTGACTATATGTACAGCATCAAATGCATTCCAACTCACAACGGGCTTATCGGGATGTAGCCCAACATGAGTAAAGGAACACCTGTATTTCAGAAACAGGAGGCCCTTTGTATTTTCATATACTTCTATGTTTTCAAACAAATCCAAGAGCATATGAACTCCATGAACCATAAGAGCAAAGAAGAAGACAAATAAGACACAAAATAGAGGCTGGAAGAGACAAGAAAACAAGAACGGCAGCCAGCTCCGCTCGGGAACTGCCCAGTGATCTCACTGTGAACCCTCCCGTCTGCTGGCCCTCCCTGCAGCCCCAGGCTGTCCTCTCCTGAAGGCACAGATGCCTCCCTGATGGGGACACACATGCCCACTCCTGGGGACAGCAAAAGGCTACGGTGGTCCCCTGGGTGCTTCCTCGCTGGCGAGATGGGAGAGCTGGCGTGATGGCCAGGAGGCTGGCGCTTGTGTTTAAATGCGCCCTGCTGTCCCCATCCCTAGGGAGCTGCGACAGTGGGAGTCTTGTTTCCAAACACATTCTCCGCCCCATGACCTCGTCCAGGAGCCTGGCTGAAATATCTATTATCTGTGATTCCCAAATTCTACCCGCAGCCCAGACCTCACCTGCTCCAGGTGCACCCATCCAACCACTGCGTCTCCTCTTCAGATCGGTCTACCACAGGGATATTCCGATCCTTCTGAACAACCTCGCTCTAGTCTTGGGAAATGGCACTGCCATTCCTGGTCACTCAGGTCCCGCCTCAGAATCAGTGTGACTGCTTTTTGTCCTCACTCCCCACATGAGTGGGTGCTGTCAGGCACATCTCCAGAATGCTGTGTTCCCACCCATCCCCCGCCACCTCCTGGACCGAAGCCACTGCATCCCTTCCCTGGACATCATGGCCACTGGCCATCCACCCGAGTCCACACTGTCCAGTTGCTTGGTGAGCTTTAAAGATGAAGTCAAACCCTGCTGCTAATCTGCTCAAATCTCTGTGCCCACCCCCTGCTCTTCATAAAGGTAGAGCCAGTGTTGCATGTGGTTGATAAAATGAATGCCCCGAAGTTCTGAGTGAGAGGGAGACAGTGAGGACAGGGGCCCTGCGTGCAGCTGCACAGAGGCCCCAGCACAGGTCCCTGCCTTGGAGGCAGGAGATGTTGCCATACAATGACTGCGTCCCCTACGCAGGAGGCATGGGGGATGGAGGGCCGGGTTGGGGGTGGGGGGACAGACACTGACAACTTCAAATAAGTGAGAATGTGAGAAGGAATGTGGTGCAGGGATGGGACCCTGAGGGTGGACTTGCTTGTACCACCTTGTCTCCCGAATACTAGGGTACCTGCGTGAGAAGACAAAAGTGAGTCAGAGGCACTCCTCCCGGGAGCCCTCCATAGCAATGAGTGTTTTCTGGTCTCACAGTGACCGAACTGGCAGTGAACTTCTGTCAGTTACGCAGGCATCTCACACTGGGCATCTGGGACTTGATGAAACACAGGGACGTGCAGGCTCCTCCAGTCCCTGTGGGCTCGCTGCCTGATGCCGAGTCCTGGACCTGCACCACTTCTTGCCCTCCACCTGCATGTTCTTCCTGCACCTTCTTAGCTCACGCCGTCTTCCGGGACATTCCCAAGGCATCTCCCTAGCCCTCCGCCCGCATCTGTCCTGACTGCGCCTTTGCTGTGGAGAGAGAGCCAGGTCGTACACAGCAGGATGGTTTTCCAGAGAAAAAGGAATTCTGCCTTAAGACTGGCATCAAGTCCTGCTTGAATTCCCCACCCATGGACTTCAGACCTGCCAGCCTCACAACCCTGTAAGCCAATTCCTTAGGAACCTAAAACTCTCTCCTATTGGTTCTGTTTCTCTGGGGAATTCCAGATTGATTAATTAGACAGGTACAGCCTGAGCTGCTGCACAGGCTCTGTACCGGGTTCCGCGGGCACAGCAGAGACAGTCCAAACCCTGCCCCAGTGCCACGGAGAGAGGAGAAAGAGAAGTGGGAGGGGACGTGGCTGGGGGCAGGGAATACTGCAGCCCCCTCTATGGTGCCTGTGTAGAGGGAGGGATGGGTGGACAGGGCCCACCAGCTTGAGCAGCTCCACAAAGCGCAGGGCTCCTGGGTGTGGACTAAACAGACCAGACACCTCGCTCTGTTCCGCTACGTAGCACCTTGGGCATGCCACCCTGGGGGGGCAGATGGGGGCAGATGGGGGCAGGTGGGGACTGCAGGCCAGGGCGGATTCTGCATCAGGGAATCATCTCACGAGCTCTGCCAGGCTGTTCATCAGCCCAACTCCCAGGCTGGGCTGGGCCCTTTGGCAATATCTCGTCCCCCTGAGTGCGTGTTGCACCCACTTTGTGGACAGCCCCTCTGAGACCAGGGCTGGGGGACAATGTCAGCCCCACAGGTGTGGAGTGCCCACACAGATGTCACATTTGCAACAGAAACAGAGAGGAGGTGCAGTTACCTGCCAAAGACCAGCAATTACGCCTTGCACCTTCAGTCTGGGTGCACTGGCAGGTGGGTCTAAGTGCCCTATGGGGGCCTGCTCCCTGAGCCTGGCTATTTGCTACCTCCCACAGTAATTCCGTGTTCCATACAGATGGCTCCTCGCATAAGGACCAGACGCTTACGCAGGGACAAGGAGATCAAGTTCCATGAAGCGCTGATCACCAGTGTCCAGCAGCTGCTTAGCTGGGCCTGGACCTGGTGGTCTCGCTGGGGCCTGAGCCCAGACACCACAGTCCTGCCCAGTCCACCCGCACAGGCCTGGATCCTGCTCCTCCTGTCAGTGGCAGGACGCAGAGGGTCACACAGGGTCTGGTCTGTCTTCCCCACACCTGGAGGCAGCAGCACTGTCACCCACAAGAGGTCCCAGGTGGCCTTGTACCCACGGCCATTAGTGTGACGGCACACCATGATTAGGGACCTTGGTCAGAGCTGTCTGAACCCCTCCCTTTCCATCTGCAATACAGCGGTACGGCTGATCAAGGCAGATGGGGCATAAAAGTTGAAACACCAGAGCGCAGGTAGTTCAGAAACCTTCACAAGGCCCTACCAGCCACAGAACTTCAAGGGGCAGCCAGCCAGCTCATGTTGCTCTCACAGGGCCATTTCTCTGGGATGCACAGCATGGGGAGCTATACCCTCACCCACAAAACTGGGGCAGGAGGTCTTGGACCCCAGTGAAAGCACACAGGATGCAGGAAGAGGGAGCAGGTGTCATGTGAGGGTCTGGGTTGGTTCCATCTTACAGAACCCAACACTTAAAATTCAGTGAAAACCACATAAGCGGAGCTTTCTGGACACCTGCTCTTTGACCACACACCTTGTCCGCATGAGGCTGACAACAGCCAGCAGCAGGTGAGGCTGGGCAAGCCACTGGTTGCCCACCTAGGTGACCCTGCTTTGCTGACGTGGACATAACTAACTGTCCGTAATTCCCTCCAAGAAGCTGAATGTTCTTACACTTCTGGTTACAAAATCAGATGGAACAGAAAGACAATTTAGAAAAAATGAGTGCTTTCTCCTTAATACAAAATTCTCGTGACTGTGAACAAGTGGCTGGAAGACATAAAACTACATGTTACAACAAGCTCAGTTCCTGACCCTCAAAGCACTGAATATTCCAACATGGGATATTCAAACAGGCAGGTTGCCCTGGCCAGTGTGGCTGTTGCTTGAGCGTCATCCCGTACACCGAAAGGTTGCCAGTTTGATTCCCCATCAGGGCACATGCCCAGGTTGTGGATTCAGTCCTCGGTCGGAGTATGTGCCAGAGGCAGCCAATCGATGTTTCACTCTCTCCCCCTCTCCCTTCCTAAGAAAATAAAAACTAAAAACATTTTTTAAAATGAAGTTTTATTTCAACCCTGGGTTTCTTTTAAGGGTTGTAAGCATTCCCGGGAACTAAGTCATGTCCTGCTCTGAACCAAAAAGGTGGGGCCGCCGCCTCAGCTCTCAGGGCTTCCGTTTGGAGACTTGGACACTATTTGCTTTCTCTGCCCAGGGCTCTCAGAAAACACCATGAGATGAAAGAGACGTGCTCCCTCAGCACAAATGACAAACTGCCCCCGCCACCAGGGGCGGTGCACCAGGTACAGTGCGAAGGTGGTACCTAGACCAGGGTCTGCACTGTCCGACGAGCTGACGCACAGCAGACCCCTCACACACTGTGAGGAGCTCTCGGTGCGCAGCAGAGCCTGCTCGCCACACGGGACATGAGAGCAGCCCAGATAATTGGATGCTTTTCTCCTTCCTTCCTCCTCTCCCTAATGGCTCTGGGAGGCATTCAGACCAAGACACTCCCTTGGCTGGCCCGGAGCCTAGCTGCTCTCTCAATCACTGAAGCTGCTTGTTCTTAGTGAAGTGCAAAACTTTGGCCACTTAGATCTGAACTCCAACTAACACTGCTGGGAAACTTTATTTTCAATTCTTAAAACCCACAGAGAGAGAGAAAGGGACGGGGGATGCAGGCACGCTCCATGGTGGGGATGCCTGAGGGAACCTTCCTCATGACGTGCAACATGGAACCGAGGGCCACGTGGCTACTGAGCATCTGAACGGTGGCCAGTGTGAACTGAATTAGCTGCATTTAATTCTAACTCATTAAATGTAATGGTCACATGTGGCTAGGAGCCACATTTAACACAGTGGGACTCCACAGAAAAACTCACTGGATAGAATTCACAATGTACAGCTTAACCCCTGAACTAAAATGCCGAACTCTACAATGAGCTGCGAGGCACGTCACCTAGTTTCCTGTTTTAGAGGTGGAGGAGGAAATGGGATTTTCTCTCGCTCCTCTCTTCCACTGACAACGGATTCTCAGAGAACGAAGAGCATGCTATTTTGCTTTTGTTTTATCCCACCGACACTGTGAGCTCAGATCTGCCTTCAGAGGAAGGACTCATGAGCCCAGGGGTACTGCTCATCACACAAGACTCCCAAACATCTGCTCTATAGTCTATGCTAATTCCTTCCATTTTTTGGTATTCCCTCCTTATTTTTTTTACTTTTCTCTAATAGATTGTTAGAATAAACAGAGTAAATGGTTAAATCTTAGTATGTTTCTGAATTAAAGCAAACCACATCACAGTAAGCGGCGAGCGGAATGGCAAATGAGCGTGGGCACATGCGCGACATGCCCGTGTGCGAGCAGAGTCTAATGGAGACAAGTGCCACAGAAGCAGTTTATTTCTCGAGTCTGAAGAAGCCACGTACCAGCCTGCACAACACGGACACAGGTGGGAGAAGAAACCCTTCTAGTGGAGCCTGGCCCCCCAGCAGACTTCCTTTGCCCCGTGATCATTACGAATTGCTGCCACATAAAGCTGCAGACTCCGATGCTCCTGTCCACCCTGACTACACCGCAGGGACGACTGCCATTGCTTCCACGGTGCGATGTTTACTTCCCCCCAAATTTTAAAGCTACGAGGAGGCCACGAGAGTGCAGACTGGAAGCTTCTTCTTCACTGCCAATACAGCTCTAGCAGAGGGTGGTCCGTCACTTCAGCCAGATCCACTTGTCGCCCACGTCCGCATTATACCCGGGGCAGTACTTGCGGCCCGGCAGCTGTGGGAGGAAGCAGGCAAGGTCACCATGGGTTTACAAGCAGGTCGGTCCCCCAGCCCACTGCCCTGCATTCTCCAGGCCCTGCTGTGAGTGATGGGCTCCGCAGGCCCCGGGCACAGCATAGCTCTGCCCGAAAGAGCTTCTGTCCTGGCAGGGGGCCTATAAATGCAAACTAACCAAGTGTCCCATCCTGTCAGGAGAGTGACGAGGCCATGGAGGGGACACCTGGGTGAGAACTGGACTGGGAGTGACCCAGCAGACACCAGGGCGACAGCATGTTCCTTCTTAATGCTCTGCCCAGCACCATGTGAAACCCACTGATGAAGTCCCAGCTGAGTGGTCACTGTCCAGCAGGAAGCACAGTAGGAGCACTGGGCTACAATTAACACGAGGCCTCAGTCAGTGCGGGTGGGTGAAGGAGCCAACAAAGGAGGAGCCACGGTGGGAGCCGTTAGCTGCCCAGGACCCAGAGGTGCCGCTGCAGGAGGGCGGGAGGGGCTATCACGGCAGCAATGATGTTGGAGGACAGATGGCTCAATGCCCGCTCCTCCTGGTGGCAGTTGGGGAGCAGGGGCCCTGTGACACAGTCCACAGAGTCTGGCCTCCCAGGACACAGGCAGGTGGGCCTGGAACAGCAGCTACCAGGCATTCCCATGGGCAAAAGAGCCGGCATGAGAGCACAGTGACCATGGCTGTGATGGTAGCCAGCTAGGCAGGACCCGCTCCTTGTGCAGGGAAGGTTCGTACCAGGTGCTGGGGCTACAGGACCAGAAGGGGCAGGAAGACATCAGGGAGCCACATTTCAGCTCTCTGCTTCCAACAAGTACTTTGGCTACCACAGGGTGGTCACTGGGCCAGAAGGGCTGCTCCCTGTGGGTCCATGTGACTGACACCTGCATCTGGCTTCCACGGGCCTCAAGGGCTCAGGAAGTCCTGGAGACACAGCGGGGCAGGACCAGTGTGGGAGGAAGGTCAGGTGGTTCCCCAGGGACATAAATAAATAGATGATGCAGCAGGGAGAAGAGAAAGCAGGTCCTCACAGCAGAATGCTAACTAACGATGCAGGACTCACAGAATCAGGAAAAGTGTAATTTGGCAACCATCCTATTCATAATTTAGCCAAGAAAATCAATAAATGGTAGAATGAGCAATTGAGGAGGAAATGGACATTGACAGTTTCAGAGTATGCCCCTCAAATATTTACTAATTACAGAGAGTGAAGACACAATCTTAGTCAAGGGACCAAAGTCCATACAACCCATAACAGGACAGACAGTAACCATGTGCCACCTGACAAGATGCAAGCAGTTCTGTGACAGGCCCACAAAAACAAAACGCAGCCTCAATCTGATCATGGGAAGCAGCGAGGGACACTAAAAAATACCTGTCCTGTGATCTTCAAAAGTGTCAAGGTCTTAAATGTCACGGAAAGCTTGAGGAACTATCAGATTCAAAGAGACTACAGAGACAAGACAATCAGATGCAATCCATTATCCAGGGTGGGCCCTTTTGTTCTAGAGAACATTACTGGGGTGACTGATCACCCTGGAACCAGGTCTGGGATTAGCAGCAGCAACATATGAACACCAATCCCCTAACTGCAGGAGAAGGTCCTTGACCTTAAGAGTCACACATCATGGCAGGGGACACCTGGCCCACCCAAGAGGACCTGACCCTGGGACCTGAGAGCCGGCTTTCCCAAGGAGTGCCCAGGAGATGCTGTGCAGGAGCCACACCTGAGACCTGGGTGCCCAGGAGGTGCTGTGCAGGAGCCACACCTGAGACCTGGGTGCCCAGGAGGTGCTGTGCAGGAGCCACACCTGAGACCTGGGTGCCTAGGAGGTGCTGTCCAGGAGCCACACCTGAGACCTGGGTGCCCAGGAGGTGCTGTGCAGGAGCCACACCTGAGACCTGGGTGCCCAGGAGGTGCTGTGCAGGAGCCAAACCTGAGAACCTCAGTTTTAAAGTATTTGAAGCTAATTGGCACCATTTGATCACAAAGGTTCAGACAAGTTATTTTCCTATTTTTGTTATTTTTTAAAATTTGAAACATTCTAAAATAAAACATCGATAGAAGGAAGACATGAAGACCACTGAAAACATAGTGTGAGACTGTCAGCAGGGACCCTCTGGCCAAGGACCGATCCTAAGGGCAAGCCCGAGCCCAGGGAGGGAAGAGCACCAGCCGCATCAAACAGGGGCCACGTCTCCAGGCTTCAAACATACGGAGAATTCGATGTGACAAAACAGCACAAGTGACAAGAGCTGGGTAAATGAAGTAAAAGTCTCCCGAGATCCCAGCACTGTTCTGGAATGAGAGAACTACTAACTAGTGTGAGACTTTGATAAATCAAGGATGACTATTTTAATCACTAGGTTAGCCACGAAAAACCATTTAAAAATAATGTTAACTAGTAAACAAATAGAGGCGGAAATAGGATTAAAAATTTTCATCCAAAAGAAGACAGGAAAAAAATACATAAAACATGTAAGAACAATATAAAATATACAGTAGGTAAGCTACTTATTTATTTTTTTTAAATATTTTTTTTATTGATTTTAGAGAGGAAGGGAGAGGGAGAGAGAGATAGAAACATCAATGATGAGAGAGAATCATTGATCGGCTGCCTCCTGCACATCCCCTACGGGGGATCGAGCCCGCAACCCAGGCATGTGCTCTTGACCAGAATCGAACCTGGGACCCTTCAGTCCGCAGGCTGACATTCTATCCACTGAGCCAAACCGGCCAGGGCTAAGGTAAGCTATTTAAACATAAATGTATCTGTAATTGCATTAAATGTGAACAGATAAATATTCCCAACTTTCAGACTGAACAGAACTAAAAACATAACTGTTTTCAGGTTACAAGGTGCCCACTGGAAATATGAAGATAGAAAAAGGTTGAAATTAAAAGATGCAGAAAAACAACTCTACCATGCAAATACTAAGCAAAAGAAGACTACAGATGCTGCCTAAGCATTGAATGAAGTAAACTTTAAGGTAAGAACCAAAGATAGTGAGAAAAAGTTCAGAACCTATAAAACGGTAACTCCACTGAGAATTTATAGCAATTTAAATCTGTCTTCCTCTAATGACACAGCCTCTAAACCTACACAGAGCAGAACTGGACAGACGGAGAAGGGCACATCCACACAGAGGCAGATCTCCACATCTCTGACCACAAGGTGACGGGAGAGAAAAGACCAGTGAGAATGAGGACAGTGTGGAGAATGTGGCGAACAGAATTCACCCCGATGAGACCAACTGAACTGCACACAGTGTGGGAAGGAGACCCTCTCCCTGAGGACCAGGGAACGTTACCAAAATTAACCAAATGCAGAGCCGAAGGTCAGCCTCAATCACACCGCAAGGACTGAAATTGTAACAAGTGTGCTCTGACTAGAGTGGAATTAAGCCAGAAAATCAGTAACAGAAAGATAATTAGAAAGATCCCCACTGCTTTTAAGTTATCCAGAATAATTCAAATTAGCATACTGGTCAAAAAGGAAATGAGGTTATAATGAGAAAATACTTTAAATTGAATGATTATGCAACGATGACATTATGAAATCTAGCTAAGCTAAGTTTGGAGGACAATGTGTCCAGCTTCAAATGCATATATCGAATAGTAAGACAAGCCAGAAATCAATGACCCACCTTCTGCCTTAAGAAGTTAGAAAAGTAGTAAATGAAAGAGGAAAAAGAGCAGTGATCAGTGAATTGGATGTACAGCAGATAACACCAAGCAAGAAGCTGGCTCCCTGGGCAACAGGCTCCCTCCAAGGGGGAGGGAGAGCAGGGCAGTGGCTATTCGCAGGCGTGACCAAGTTAAAAACATAAAAAAAGACAAACAACTTCATGCCAAGAAATCAGAAAATTTAAACAAAATGGGGGCAAATGCCTTAAAAAATATAACTTGAACATTATATATTCTGTGTCTATTAAAGAAAATAAATTAATAATTTAAAATATTCCAACAGAGCCCACTAGTGAATCTTTGCAAACACGTCAGGAAGAAGCAACGCCCATCTTACACAACTTTCCAGAGAATAAAAGTGACAGCTTAGTGTCTGATGCCGGCAGGATAATGATAGTAAATCTGACAAGGATACTGTGAGAAAGGAAAATTACCATCCAGCCTCTCAGGAACATAGATGCAAAACCCTACATTAAACGTGTGCATTAGATCCAGCTATACACGAAGAGGGAGATGTGCCCACAGGTGGGACCTACCCAGGATTCAAGGTGTGGCCTCACATCGAAATCAATCACTATAACTGACCGTATTTACAGAAAGAGGAGAAAGATCATCCAGGGCAGACAAGGGGTGGTAAACTCAGTACCAAACCTGAAGAAAGTCTTCGGAAAGTAGTAATAAGATGGAACTGCCTCACCTGAGAAAGAGTATCTAAAACTAACTTACAGCGAACATGACACTGATTGGACAGGACAGCACGGTGACAACCTCCACTCAGTATGAACTAGACATCTATCCAGGGTAGTCAGGCAAGGAAAGTAAAAGGGGGGAATAAGATTAGAGAGATAAAACTGTTATTTGCTGGCTTGTATTTTTCTTTTGCTTTTTATATCATGGGACTTTTGAATGTCCATGTTCCATACAGAGTTAACATGTGAAACATCCTGTGTTTGCCATAGTTGTCAGATGATGGCCCGGCTGCTGGTTTGCTGGAACTTTCCTGACTATGAGCAGCGCCGTTACAACTATGAGCAGGGTCACCTAGAAATGTCACACATAAAGGGCATCATCTATATAATCGGCTCTTGTTCAGCTCTTCAGTCTGTTGCATCTCTTGGGAGCAGCCCCACACGATTACCATGCCAGATGGCGTCTCCCCTGCTCTGGATACCAGGCCTACTTTCCCAGGGGTAATCAGGCTCACTCTTTCTTGCTAAACAGAGAGAAATAAATACAATCTATACTTTATAAATAGGCACATATTAACAGAAGAAATGAAAACTCCTACAGGCATGAGCTGTTGCCCAGTTATAATCAATGAAATACACACACTGAAACATAAGCTCTGTGAAGACATGACTAATCTGGTTCGCTGGGTCTCCTCAACTTCTCGACCTTAGGCTTTCCACTCCCTCTGTGCTTACAGAGATCACCGGCACCGTGACTTCAAATGTCAACCACATGCTGACGACTTCTAGATTCATAGTTACAGCCCTCACCAGGCTCCAAACCCATTAGACCTGTTACTCAACATCTCCTCATGGGGATACTAAGTGTCTTGAACGTACCATGTCCAACAGTGAATTCTTGATTTTTCCCTGAAGCCTGTACCTCTGTGTTGTCCAGTATCAGCCAATTCCCACCCGAAGAGTTCCAGTTTCTGAGCCCTAATGCAGCAGTCAGCTCACTTCTCTCTCCCACTTTCCAACACCAAATCTCAACAGATCCTGGAGGTTCTACCCACAATACGACGACTTTTCCAAAGTTGTATGATGACGCTGCCCTCTGACATGTACTCTGCAAACTGCCTCCTGGTGCTCCCCCTGCTTCGCCCACACCCTTGGCCAATCTGCTTCAAGTTAGAGGCAAAATATTCCCAACACATAGTGTGTCACACACGTCCTCCTTCTTGCCATGTCCTACCCAGGTAAGCCATCTCTCCCTTACTACCTGTCCCCTCCCTCCCTCTGCTCCAGCACAGTCCTCCTTCCTGTGTCTTGATTGTGCAGGAAAAGCCTTCCCTCACATCTGGGGCTCCCCTCTCAGTGCCCCAGCCACTCCCGCCTCCTGCATCTCTGCCCACACTCCTTCTTGTGAGGCCTTCCTGGGCCACAACCAAGATCTTTAAGTTCAGCTCTCCTCGCAGGGGCTCTGTCCTAACCTCTGCTGGGAATTTAATTTTTGTCCACAGCACTGGTCACCACTGTTCAACCAATTCTGTTTTACTTTTTGTTTTGTTTCCTTCCACTGTGATGTAAGCTCTGTAAGGGCCAAGATCTTGTCCATCTTAGGCACTGCTGTCCCATGTCTAGGACAGTCTGACACTAGCATACACTCACTAAGCATGTAGTGGAACAAGTAACTGAGCTAATGAACAAATGGCACAAATGTGTGACAGAACAAGACGGAGAGCCTGGTGCCACAGAACCTGACATGAGGAGAGTGTGGCTGCTGACATCATCCAAGGTCACCTCCCCACTGGGGCCAAGGTTTCATACCCGTGTGCCACTGCCTTTTTACTTTATTTTAAAAGGACACTTCACACCAGTAATACAAGTAGAAAGCCAGTACCCTCATCATAAACAATAGAACATGAAAAAAAATATAAAAATGAAGCCAAGTTACTAATTCCACACACATATCAATGACTACAAAATTCCTGAGCTTGCCTTGTTTCTTTGTATAAAAGTGGGACTATCAGAAGTGAGCCAGATGCTAAAGATGTAATCAGAATAATTTTTTTAATTTAAAGGGCAAAACTTTCTCACTAGTAATTTATGTATGTTTTTAAATCCTCTCTCCACCCAGCACATTAAGTCCCCAGGCCCCACTGGTCTGGACTAACAGACAGCACTGAGCGACCACGGATGCCCTCCGGGCTGTGATGACAGCAGACTCTGCAGGAGCCAGATGAGCACGTTACAGGATCTGAACTCGGTCTGAGTCCGGGAAGGGCTGTGTGGTCAGCTGCCTCTGCATATTATGAAGAGGGGCTATAGGGTCAGGCTTGGCACAGAGGACGCCAGGCAGGAAGCTGCAGGACAAACTGAAGTAAGATCATGGAGGCTGCACAGAGGCGTAGCTGTGACGCCAGAAGAAAATGAAGCCATTTGTAAGATGGACTCCACAGGACCTGGTGAGCCATTAAATGCAGAGTGAGTGGAACATCACCAAGCAGGTTTTCTGGCCTTTGCAAGTGGCAGAGGTGGCACAGCTAAGCCTTGCCACAACCAAACTGTGGATCCGCACAGTTCCACTCAAACAGACGCAGACTGCAAGTACTCACACCCAGAGGCCAGCACGAAACATGCAAACATACCCACTGAGGTAACTCAGAGTTTCCTAAAATTTCTACACTGAATAAAATCACTTTCAAAACAACTAGAAGAACTTACTTAAAAGAAAATGCCAAGGACCTCAAGTAAGAAAGGAAGCGGTGGGACATATTACAACACCCAATCACTTCAAGCAATTTGCAAGCCTCAAATCCGAGAATTACAGTTGTGCGAAAGTATTTAACTTTCAATTTACCCAAATGCTGCCTGCTTAGCTTGTCTAATTTATATACAATCATTTCACACGTTTGCCATTAACAACCCCAACCACAGCTGATGGAGAAAGGGCTCATGTTCCGACTATTCCACTGGCACCAGCATTCCAGAGAAGACTCTCTCTCCATTCACCCACTGGGTTCCAAACCAGAACCGATGCATGTTCTCTAAGTTCATGGAATCTTGCCTGAAATGACTCCACAAACCATTGTGAAAATAATTCACTAAAAAGGTATGGAAATCAGATAAGACCAATAAAGCAGCTGACCCTCCTGACCTTTGCCCTCATTGCTGTCCAACTGGGCCACCCCTCCACTATTTATGGGCCATGAAGAGCAGAAGTTAAAGTTGATAATAATGACATGGAGATAAAGCTAAGGAACCCAGAACATTTTTACACCAAGATAACATGCTGATGAGGAATGTCGCTTGCACACACGCTGCCCAGAACATCTTCCTCTTCATGGCCTGGCCGTCTGAGGGCCGTGTCAGCTTTACAGACCAGGATAAAGGGAGAAAAGGAGAATCATTTCAACGAAAAGAAAGCTCTTTCACTGAAAAGAAACAACGACCAGAACCATTTTTCAGAGAAGCGATGTTGTCCCCAGTTGTTTGAGACCCACAGCAGGTCAGCTCTCTGGCTTCAAAGGTCTCACCTCTGAGAATTCACGGAAGACTCGGTCACTCTGGTGTGCTCCAATCGTGATTTCTGGGAGATAGATTGGAATGGTTGTGTAATTCAGCACCTTCAACTTATCCTGAACCCTAGGAAATAAGACAAACATGGGTCACGCTAAACCACCAACATAAATAATGAAATAAGCTGTAAGGCTGGTTTTTAAACACATCCATATTAAAAAATTAATACATTCAAATAAATGCCATTCATTCCCAAGCAGTCATCTTGACGCACAACTTTCACCCCAAAGACCATCTGCTCTTTGTGGCGCTGCTATTGGAATGACTTTCACAGCCTGAGTGGAGTCTTTCAAAAGCCTCAGTGGCCGGATGACTACCTTTGGGAATGGATACAAAATGGAAACATAAAAAAAGAGCCACAGTGTGCTTTATTTATTTTTTTAAAATATTTTTCTTTATTTATTTCAGAGAGGAAGGGAGAGGGAGAGAGAGAGATAGAAACATCAATGATGAGAGAGAATTACTGATTGGCTGCCACCCGCACACCCCCTACTGGGGAGCAAGCCCACAACCCAGGCATGTGCCCTTGGCCAGAATCGAACCTGGGACCCTTCAGTCCACAGTGTGCTTTAAATATAGGCATAGCAGGAATAAAAAGGTAACAACAAACACCATATATTTCAATGTCATGTACATAGTGTCCTCATTAAAAACTTGCAAAATGAATGAGTCTTGAGGAAAGAGACTTGAGTCAGGTGGGTCCGCCAGGTTGACAGCACAGCATCGTACCTGCCACTCCCCCAAAGGCCGACACCATCTGCAGGGTCTGCAGGATCAAGGCTCTGGGACTCAGGGCGTGGGGAGTGGGGGAGTTTCCACACAGGATGGGCTGTTGTGCCAGTGCTTATAACAGGTCTAGCTCTCTGCCTTTCTTGGCACCGATAAATACAAATCATTCGGTCCTCTCCTTGTTTCTCCATTTTGTTTTGCTGGATGCTAAAATATTTATACTTCTGTAATTTGCTTAAATTAAATTTAGTCTGAATATAAACACTATACTTGAAGATGAAAAGCATTTTTGGGGCTTTTAGAAAGAAACATTAAAATAAAGTCTCCTTTCTTAAGGGCTCAAAACAAAGAAAATAATTATTTTAAATGGCCACTTTCCCATTAAGGAGTTATAATGGCAGATGTTTCTGCTTGTAATGGCCCAAATGGAAGTTTTTTAAATGTCTCTGGCTCTCAGCCACTTGGTGAGAGCAAGTCCAGACCTACCAGGCAAACCCAAGCCTGTCCCCACCCCACGAGCAGGCCCCACTGCATCGGAATAGCCCGATCTGAATCCAGGGCTCAGTGATCCTCTGTCCTCTCCCACAGAGGGACACAGAGCACCAGAACTCACGGTCGGTGCGTGGACAGCAGGTAAAGGCACACCCAGGTGTCACAGTAAAAGTCACCTCACTGACTGAATAATCCCCACCCAGACATGGCTCCAGAAATCCTGCCAGGATAACTAACTGCTGGCCTAGGATCCTGACGTGGCTGTAGTGCACACAACTCAGACCAGAATTTTTCTCTTCTAACAGTAATTGGTTTTAGAATATATTTCATAAGCATGCATCAATAATGCATAAATACACATCTTTTTATTTTTAACACAAATAGAATTATTTCATTCTTATTATACAAGGACAATTTTTAAAGTGATCTCACAATAAACAGTTTCAAGTAAAAATGAAGTTTGTATGTTTAAATGTTAACAAATATCAAGGTACATAAGATCTGGTTTTCTCTACAGCTTGAAAATCCTAAAAAAAATTGTGGAAAATGTGAAAGGACTTACTGGCTTGGCCTGGGAACTTGAGAGGAATACACAGAGCAACAGCGCCATCTCTGTTTGACTTGGCAGAACTATATTTTCACATAACCTCCCCAAAAGGATGGATCTGGACAAACATGCTTCAAACTGTTTTTGAAGATTAAAAAATTATCTGTGACTGTTCAGACTTCTTGAAACTGGCTATACTGCTCCTCCAGTGCCTCACTATGAGCCTGAATTGTGACCTCAGAAGAGCCGGTGTACCTATCACCAGTAAAGCCACATCTTTATCTCTAATCATCTAGACAGATTGAAGATAAGGAATGAGGACAACAGGAAGCCATAATTTTATGACCCAGGAAGCAAAAGCAATGAAACAAAACATTCTGTTCACAGAGCACTCAATCTGATTAAGGAGAACTGGCTGAGAGTAATAGAGCCTCTTAACATCATGACCCAAAGTACATTTAAATGAGATTAAATGTACTCAAGTTTAGTTTATAATATGAGGTGCTAGACCACATATTTTAAAACAAAATGTGAGGCAGGAAAAGACAAAACAACAATAGTAAATTATGTTTTATGACTCAACTGTTCCCCAATTAACAGAATGTCTATAGTCCTCCTAAAACATGTCCAAAGCATCTTTTTAGTCTTTCCTGAAGTGTAAAGGTCTGTGTGGAGCACTACATTTCTGATCCCACACTCACAACTCAGTTCTACAGCACTGGACATGCACATCAGAAAGACGTCCTCCAGGAGCCACGGAACACAGGACTCAAAGAGGGAGGGCTCTGGGGGAGCAGCAGGAAGGCGGAGGCCCGGCTGCTAACCAGTCAGCACAGGAGTGAAGCCGACAGCGCGGGCACCAGTCAGTTACGGATCACAGCTATGAGATCAGAGTGCTCTCAAGGTTGAAAACCAGTTACCATTCAGCATCAGCACACACAAACATAATTACACACTGACACACGTAACTGAGACGGTACAACATTGCTCTTAACCAGTAATTTGGTCAAGTTCTGGATAAAATGAGTATAACTAGTAAATGGCATGTTTACAGTAACTATCTCAGAAAATTGATCATAATTTTCACTTGAGTCCCCGAAATTAAGAAGTAGTACTGGAAAACAAACACCATTACGACTATACACTGTTATGAAATATCTTTGGGGAAAGGGCAGAGGAGCACAAACTGGGAGAAGGATAAGACAAGAGCGTTTGCAATAAATGAACTGAAACAATTGAATGTTATAATTGTGAGCTTTGCGGGAATTATAGGATCTTTCTCTATGCTCTGATAACCACACAACTAAATAACTACTAAAATTATGATTATGAGACAGGAATTTTGGACAGAGTCTAGAATGATTCCAGATTGTGTTCAGAAAATGACACTGCATTACCAATGGAAGGACTCAAAAAGTGATTGCACATGGCCCAGTCTCCATAGAATGTCAGGAGAGTCACCTCCTATTTGATATTTCACATATTTTGCCCAACAGAAGCTGATATTAACAAGAATCACATAAAAACCCACATACAATGATAGCCTAGAAAAGTTGAGGGGAGGTTTCCAGGAAAAACAAAGGTGACTATAGTTTTAGAAGATCACTCAGATTTTCACATATTTCCTGGGCAGGTGGGGGAGGGAGACTTGTGGGGCATTCTGATGGGCAGACCAGAGGGTTAGGACTGTGAACTATCCTAGAAGTGAGACTTGGCCCCCTGACTAAACACAGCTCTGCCACTGCAGGACCCGGGGTGAGGAGAAAAGTGTCCCTGTGACATTCTGATGAAAACTGACCCGATGGGCGTGTGCACAGGGGATGGGTGGGATGAAGGAGTAACTGACCCGAGGATTGCAGATGGCGAGTGAGGGGATGAAATCCCAACAGCAGCAGAAGTAATGAAAGAGGAATGTCAGGGAAAGAAATCACTGGAGACAAACACACAACTTTAGGGTGGGATTTCAGGAAAGGAACGGGACCAGGAGATGAAAGCAGGGTTCAGGAAAGTGACAGCTGAACTAGGAGGCGACATTCAACAAGCCTGAGCTGATGAGAGCCTCGAGGGAGGATAAGATGATCATGCACAAGACCACAGGGAGGTGCCAAGAGCCAGACACCACACCCTCCAGACCACTGTCACAGGACCATGCCCGTCGGAGCTCTGAGACCTGTTTCCCTACCTGTGAAATGAGGAGAGCCCCCACCTGGCAAGAGTGCTGTGGAATCAAAAGTTTCTGAAACACCTTTCAGATACAATGTTGACACGAAGGATGATTATGATTAAGGCTGAGACCTCAAGACATCAGACCTAGAGCTGGAACACTATGCAGCAGTTAAAGAAAAGATATATATTTTTAAAGCAAGATTCAGAATAATACTGTATAAAATATCATTTAGGGACATTTACAAAAACATCTAGACAAAACAATATAATCATCTAGACCAGTGGTCGGCAAACTCATTAGTCAACAGAGCCAAATATCAACAGTACAACGACTGAAATTTCTTTTGAGAGCCAAATTTTTTAAACTTAAACTATATAGGTAGGTACATTGTTACTAACTTAATTAGGGTACTCCTAAACTGGCCTTTGCTAAAAACGTCCTCAATCTGATTGAGGTACGTTCACTGAAGTCGACCCCTTCCAACTCTCCCATCCACACTCGTCTTGTATACTTGTTTCAGATAGATGAGGGTGGATGGGAGAGTTGGAAGGGGTCGACCTCAGCGAATGTACCTCAAAACAATGTACCTCCCCGGCGCTGCGTATCCCGCGGCCCGCCTGCGCCGTGTCTCCCATCACCCCACCGACTGACACCCCCCACTTCTTCTAACGCCACTTCTTCAAAATAGACTTGCCCAGGCCGAAAACTGACTTCTGCGCATGGGCCACGAAGTTTCAATCGCACTGTGCGCGTGTCCGCACGTGGTATTTTGTGGAAGAGCCACACTCAAGGGGCCAAAGAGCCGCATGTGGCTCGCGAGCCGCGGTTTGCCGACCACTGATCTAGACAAAAGAGAAAGCTGACCACTGAGCTTTAGAAAACTAAGAGGATTTCCAGTTTCAGCTGAGAAGTAAAATGCCTGAAAGCCACCATTCTTGCCCTGCATGTCGTCCACAAGAAACCCACTTTAAATACAAAGACTCAGTTGGAAGTGAAGAGATGGAGGAGGACAGACCCTACCTACACAAATCAGAGGCTGGAATAGTTGTATCAATTTCAGACAAAGCAGACTTCAGAACTAGAAAAATTACCCAGGATAAAGAGGGGCATTATGTAATGATAAGTGAGCTCATTCTCCAAGAAGAAATAACAACCCTAAACACCCATGCACCTAACAACATGGTATCAAAATGCATGAGGCAAAAATGAACAAAACTCAAAAGAGAAAAAGACAAGCCCGATATGTTAGCTGAAGACCTAAATGCTTCTCCCTGTGTCTGACAGACCCAGCAGACAGGAGCAGTGAGGAAACAGGGGACCTGAACACCCGTCCATCAGCCCACCTCACATTTATAAAACATTCCATTGAATAACAGCAGAATCCACCTTCTCATGTTCAACTAGAACATCAATCAAGATAAAAAACTCTCCTGATCACACAGAACATCTCACCTAATACAACAGAGTAGAAATCATACAAAGCAAGTTCTCAGATCACAATGGAATTAAACTAGAGAAATTTATAGCACTAAAGGCATATATTAGAAAAAGACTTGAAATCAATCTTCTAAGCTTCTACCTTAGGAAACGAAAGCGAGAAGGGCAACTGACGCCTAAAGGAAGCAGATTAAAGAAAAAGAAGTAATAAAAACTCTAGAGTAGGTATCAATGACATTGAAAACAGAAAAATAATCAAGAACATCAACAAAACAAAAAGCTGATTCTTTATAATGATCAATAAATATGACAAAATTTATAAAGGACTAATAAATAGCCAATAAAAATATAAATTATTTGAAGCTCAGGGTAAAATGCAAAATAAAGCAAATAATTTTCTCTGGTATCAAAATCACAAGATTTTGTTTGCTTTTTATTTTTACTACTAGAATCCCAGTGCATGAATTCACGCACAGGTGGGGTCCAGCCGCCCGGCCCTGACTGGGGTGGATTGGGGCTGGGCCTGTTGGGAGGAGGAGACGGCAGGAGGTTGGCCGGCAGGCCCACCCCAATCGGGGCCCAATCAGGGCCAGGCCAGTGGGAGAAGGGGCCACAGAAGATTGGCTGGCAGGCCCTGCCCCTGATTGGGGGGAGGGGGCTGATCAGGGGCAGGGACAGCTGGGGGGAGGGGCCGCAGGTGGTAGCTGCCAGCCTTGCCCCTGATTGGAATGGGGGGGCCAATCGGGGACAGAGCTGGCTGGGGGGAGGCACCATGGGCC